TATGTCAATAAACGGGGTCACTTAGAAAGGGTTTATTATAAGAAGAATTGAAATAGGATTTTTTGGAAATGTCTAACTAAAATAAAATATTTTTTTTACACACATATAAAATATATAATTTTTATAGCTATATAAATACATATATGAATTGTTTCACTTACTAGATGCTTAATTGTATTTCAATAAGAAAAAGTCACTTGGGGAGGGATTATTACAAGATGAATTGGAACAGAATGATTTGAAAAAGTCCAACTAAAAATATTAATTTTTAACACAAATATAAAAATAGTTTTATGGCTATATGAAATGCGTGTATGATTTGTTTGGATTACTAAATATTCTCAAATAATATTTCAAGAAACAATGTTAGTTGGAAAGGGTTTATTACAAGGCAAAAAAATTTCTACACTATAATCTAACACCACCTCCTATATCTTTTACCAAGATTTTGGTACCAGGCCCCAACAGGATTATCCAATGATGAGTTAGGGTGTTCGTAAAATTTTTTTAAAAATAAAAGAAGTAACTGAATAGAAAAATATAAACAAATTATATGTTCAATACTATTTTACTAAAGTAAACTGGTCAATTGAAAATGTCTAATTAAACATAAATAATTTTTAATAAAAATACAAAAGTATGACTTTTTATGACTATATAAAATATATGCATCATTTGTTTCAGTTACTATATATAGTCAATAGTACTTCAATAAACAAGGTCACTTTGGAAGAGTTTATTACAAGATGAACTTGAACGGGATCAGTGGAAAAGGTCGAGCAAAAAAAAATTAAGACAAATATAAAATGTATGTTTTTTATGGCTATTTAAAGTGCATATATTGTTTGTTTTAATTACAAGATATTCTCAATAGTGTTTCAATAAATGATGTCACTCGGTTAGAGTTTATTATAAGATGAATTGGGACGGTATGATTTGAAAAGTTGCAAATAAAAATAATTTTTTTAAAAAAATATAAAATGTATGATTTTTTATTCTTATAAAAAATTAATGTATGATTGGTTTCAAGTACGAGATATTTACAATAGTATGTCAATAAGCGGGATCACTTAGAAAGGGTTTATTATAAGAAGAATTAGAACGAGATCTTTTGGAAATGTCTAACTAAAATTAAATATTTTTTTACACATATAAAATGTACGACTTTTTATAACTATATAAATACATATATGATTTGTTTCAATTACTAGATGTTTAATTGTACTTCAATAAGAAAAAGTCATTTGGGGAAAGCTTATTATAAGATGAATTGAAACGGGATGATTTGGAAAGGTACAACTAAAAATATTAATTTTTAGCACAAATACAGAATATATGATTTTATGGCTATATGAAATGTGTGCATGATTTGTTTTAATTGCTAAATATTCTCAATAATATTTCAAAAAACGGGGTCAGTTGGAAAGAGTTTATTGCAAGCGAAAAAAATTTCTACAATATAATCCTACGCCACTTCCTACATCTTTTACCAAATTTTGGCACTGGGCTCCAACGGGTTTATCAAAGGGCGGGTTAGGATGTTAGTAAAATTTTTAAAAAAGAAAAGAAATGATTAAGTAAAAAAATAATTGTACTTCAATAAACAAGATCAATTGAGAATGGTTTATTACACAATGACTTAGAACAAGATCAATTGGAAATGTTCAATTCAAAATAAATAATTTTTAACACATATATCAAATATACGAATTTTATAACTATATATAATACATGTATTATTTGTTTCGATTACTAGATATGATCAATAGTACTTCTATAAACGGGGTCACTTGGGAATAGTTTATTATAGGATGAATTAAACGGGGTACTTGGAAAGAATTTATTAAAAGACAAATTAGAAAGGGATCATTTGGAATAGTCCAACTAAGCAAAAAATAATTATTTATGCTAATATAAAATAAGGGTATTATTTGTTTTAATTACAAAGTGTCATTAAAAGTAATTCGATAAACGGGATCAATTGGGAAGAGTTTGTTACAAGATGAATTGGAACGGGATCATTTGGAAAGGTTTAACTAAAAGTAAATAAGTTTTTCACTCACTTTTAAAATTTATGATTTTTTATGACTATAAAAAGTGTATGTATGATTTGTATCATTTATTATATATGTTCAAGAGTACTTTATTATATAAGCCAGATCACTTAGGAATGACTTATTAAAAGATGAATTAGAACGAAATTATTTGGAAAGTTGTAACTAAAAATAATTAATTTTTAACACAAATATGAAATACAAGACTTTTTATGGCTATATAAAATAAATGTATGTTTTGTTTCAATTACTAGATAAATTAATATAGCTAAAAATTATACACAAAAAGATCTATACGGGCACGGGCCAGTACTAGTTTGTATGAAACAAATTTTTGGACAAAAAGTTGGCGCCATCCGGTCATCATGAGCTAATATGGTTAAAAATACTCCCACGTATATACCAACCAACGTTTGTCTATCTTATTATTTTCAATCTTTATTGTAATAAGATTTGTCCCCTTTTAATTATTTTTCCTATTTGAAATAAATAAATAATAATCTAAGTTAAAGTGGGAATACATAAGTCACAACTAGTATTTTTTATATATATATGTACTAGATGTTAAACCCGCGCGATGCGCGGGATTTATTTATATACATTATAAAAAATCAACAAAAAAAATATAAAAATTGTAAAATGTATTTGGAGTCCATATTAAGATACATTACACAACTAAAATTAAATAAATGCGTAATTGTAAAGATAAAATAATGCATATCATTTGAAATGCAAGTGTTCACTTGATTTTTATTGAAGGAGAAGAACTGGACAATAACACTCATAAGTAGAGTAAAATAAATAATATTGTATTAAGATTACATATTGAATGAAAAGATAAAATAATTGTACGCGTAAAATACATAATGAAGTAATTATCAATAGTAGATGGTAGATTATGTGTGACTGAAGTATGAAGTTTAAAATTTTTATAGTTTTTTTGTTCTAATTAAAGATTTTATGGTACTATTTGGCCCAATACTTAATATTTTAGAGGAACAAACTAACTATAGAGTTTAAATTTTTGCCCTTTAATCCCTTTTTGCTATGACAGTAGAAAATAATAATTAATGAAATTATGAAATTATGGGTAAAGAAAACATAAATTTAGTAACGTCTAAAAAAAAACCCTAAAACATCATTTTGCAGAAGAACATACGGAAAAAAAAAAATCATATATAACCTTAACTAACCATTACCTCCCATGCCACACGATCGACCCACTATTAGTGCATCACTTTCAGAGCAACAAACCAATTGTAGGGTTAAAGTTTTTGCCCTTTCATCTTTGGATTTCGGGTTGTTTTGGGAGGGAAAAATTTTTGCAGCACTGGAACATACTCATGGTTTGTGTGGCATGTATAAATAGAGATAAATTGGGATTGATGATAATTGATTATCCAAAATTTCAGTAATAAAGATAAAGTTTATAACAATTTTTAAGATATTATTAAGGAAAGATTATATTTATTTGGGTAGATATGATATTACATAAATAAATGCATTGGTTTGAAATTCAAAAGATAACAATTAATTATAGTTAAATCCCATCATTTTAATAATAATTGAAGGCAAGTTTTGTACCTTTTTTTTCTTTTTTATTAGCGAAAAATACAGGGTCATGTTTTTGGGAGAAGATTTTAAAGATAATATTAATGTTGAATGATTGGTTTTTTTTTTTTTTTTGAATTGTAGTCTATTGATTTACATGATTGGGAGGGAGATTTTTTTTTGAGAGAGATTAATTAAATGAGTCCAGTAGTAACTTTGGGGATTCTTTTGAGGAGGGAATAATTCTGGTGCATTAATGTTCATTAATCCCGTCCATTAAATTTAATTAATTTTTATTTTCCTATTTTAAACTATAGTTTTAAATGCCATTTCATAAAACTTTATTTAAATAAAATTTGAAGGACTATTAGTATAATAGTTGTAAATATTTTTTGACTCAACCATTAGAAAAATAACACATAGGATTTTATCCTATGTGGCACCTTTAGAATTCTTTTTTGTTTTCTCTCTCTGGTTTCTCTCTTAGTATAACTAGACTAGATGCTTGCCCCGGGCGAATGTCCGGGGTGCCGCTTGTATTTTTAAATCGATTAAATAAAAAATACGAATCATTCTTAAAAGGATAAAAAAAATAGAAGAATAAAAAATCGATTGCAAGGACAGAAAGTGAGTTATACATAAATCTATGCCCAGATTTATAACATTTAATTTACAACAGTTAACTTATGCCCGGGTTTACATAAATCATAAACCAATATCTACAACAGAAGAATAAAAAAATTAATCCTTAAAAAATCAAATTTCTTTCATGACAGGTTATTTTTTCTCTGTTGTAGAAAGAGATGGATTGATAATTGATGTCAGATTTTAAGTAATTGATTTAAAGGCCCGGGTGTGAGAGAGGAGCGGAATGAAAGAGATTCTTTGAAATTTGGGATTGGGAAGACATTATTGTATTTTACTTGATTTAAGGGGATTTCTGTACATTTGATTTTATTAATTAAATATTGTTGTTTTAAGAGATTAGTATATACCTACAATTAAGAGATTTTTATGTAGCTATAATTAAGGAATTTATGTATTTATTTATTCCATCTTTTTTTTTCTGATTAGTTAGAGTGCCACGTGTCAAAAATGATTTTGTACTGAAAATGACTTTTGGCGGGAAAATTTTCATTGCAGTGCTGACACATGTCCTTTTTGTTTGCTGCTTTAATTAAGTACTATAGATATACTATAGATCATTCGAAAGTTGTCATAAGGATTATCCAAATTTCGAGTATAACCTAGAAAAAAGATTATCCAAAAATAAAATAAAATTGTGTGGAGTTATTTTCCAAAAATAAAGAAAAGAGGTACTGGCTTCCTGGCCAAGCTATGCCTTTTTTCCATATAAAGTACTGGTATTTTAATTATTAGTATTAGTCAATTAAAAATTATTCGAGGGAGAAAGAAGTCCTGAAGGGAGGAGGGGTTTAAGAGAAAGAGGTTTAAGAAAAACCCATGGGAGGCAACCAGTCCACGCCTTCTTCATCATCAAACCCTAATTCTCCCAGCGCCACCACCATGCCATCTTCAAATTCACCTTCAACAACCGAATCGAAGCCCCAATCGGAGCTGTTCCCTGAACCAGAACAGCCGGCATCCCAAACCGGAGCTCAAGGATCGTCAGATCCGCCACCGCCATCGGAGGTACCGCCGGAGAATTCAGAAATCAAAGAAGGCGGCGGCGCGGCAGAAGGGGAGGAGGAGGATGAAGACAAAGAGGAATGTGGGTTTTGCATATTTATGAAAGGCGGTGGTTGTGCCAAGGAGTTTACTGCTTGGGAGAAGTGTGTGGACGAAGGGGATCGGAACAACGAGGATATTGCGGAGAAGTGTTTTGAACTCACCTCTGCCTTGAAGAAGTGTATGGAAGCTCATCAGGATTATTATGCTCCAATTTTGGATGCTGAGGCGGCTGCCCATGAGAGGGCCAAGAAGGAATTCGAGGAAGAGGAACAGAGGGAGAAAGAGAAAGAAAAAGAGGGCGTGACACAGGTCGACGAATCTGCGACGGCGGCTAATAATTCTGATAAAGGTGGAGTCTTGAGCGTCTCTGAGCAAGGCATTGAGACCAGAGATTCAGTCTCGAGTCCATCTGAACAAGAGAAAAATTAGGAGGGATCTTGATTTTTTTCAATTGTGAAGCATTTTTGAGCTGATCGAAGTTAGGAATGATATAACTTGAATTGTGTAAGATTCTTCTTAAGATAAATGACCGGAAATTCGAAAGGTTTTTTACAACAGTGAAATAATTTTTCAATCATTTGTGGTTCATTATTGTAATTTATAGTATTTGCACTTCGAGTTAAGAAGAGTTCTTGGTTTGTGGTTTATAGTATTATTCAATAATTTGGTTTACTGTTCGGGTATGTTTTCTTTTTGTTATGTAATCGCATTAAATCCGGTTGATGTATGTGGCTTTGGTGCCTGATCTTGTGTTTTTGTTTGGTCAACTGAATTAATTAGACATTGGCATGGATGAAATAATCTGGTTGAGAATGTATTGCTAGTAAATCTTATGCATAATTCAACTTTTGCATCTTTTAAAGCTACATACTATTCAGTTTTGAAGGATGAATATCTTCATTGCCATCAACAATAAGCTTGCCTTCTGTTTTTCTTATAAGAGTAATGATGGTTAGAGATATATGGCTCCCTACTCATCCTGTGCAGCGGGGTACCTGCATATGAATTTGGGGGGAGATGGAGTTGGCTTTGATGGTAATCCTGGGTATAGAAGCCTAAGTGAATGGTTTGCCGATTTCTGATGAGTGTTTAAGTGATGGTAATCCTGAGTGCTTTGCCAATATGTGATAACTGTCTAAGCTTAAGTGATGGTAATCCTGGATGAATTGCCGATTTTCTGATAAGTGTTTTACACCGCTCCAAATTGTTGTTGCAAAATGACTGAGATTGAGTTTACTTGGAATTTATGCATTCACCTGCATTGTTGTTTAACCTTTGCTCATTTTTATTGAAATTTCAGTTCAATCTCTTTTCTAATGCATATGGCTTTCCAGTCCTAACAAGCTCAACCAGTTCTGTTACATCCAGTTTTTGGAGGCATGAAATTAGTACCTTTCTTCAAGCCTATTGTACTGTAAACCACACTTCTGTGAGTTTGAGCTATGTTCTATTTGTCAATGTCAGCTACATTTACATTTATCAAGCAAATGTCGGTTTGGGAGAATGCTTTGGAGTAGCGTTGTCCTACTGGCTCGATGCTGAATTGATGGTGTCTCATTCTCTGTTATATCTATGACTTATTTTGTATTGCCGTTTTTCTCTTCTTGCCTTTGATTTCTATGGTTTTCAACTTCCATTACCAGTTCAAAGCTTGGTTTGCATTTGCATTTGCATTTGCCTGTGCCTTTGATTTCTGTTTGTGTTGCATGTTCTTCTTTAATCTGTTCTGCCCTCTGAAGAAACCATCATTGTCAAAGAATAAAAGAAAGAAAATAACCGGTATGTGTTAGTCACTGACTCTCAGACAGATAATGTACGGTAACTTGAAATCCATTGAGTGACCTAAATTGACACAGGTGACTAATTTTCTTTCCAGTGTAATGGTGCATTCAAGTTTGGCTTGTTGAATCACTGGTATCAAGAAAAATACTCCCCCTATCCCAACAGAATTTGGGACAACTTTAAAGTTTAAATTTTGACTGTGTTTGTGAGATTAATGGATTCTTCTAAGTTATGACAATTGACAACCTTATGTTGCAACTACTCAGTGTGTTGTTACAGAGCTCCTTTTATACTACCAACATTTCTAATGATTTTAATTTCTATTTAAACATTAGCAATGCATATTTTTGATATTGATATAGCCTCAGAGTAGTACTAGCGACTAGCGAGTGCTCCAAATCCAGCATAAACGAAGAACAAAAGTGTTTTTTTTTTAATTTGTAAACAGATGCCTCGAGTCAAGACCTTAAAAAAAAAAAGAACGAAAAAATATGATTATCCACAACCAGAAGCTATATATAAAAGCCAATAGTTTTCCAAAACCTCATCTTTTCGTTGATTCTTCCCAGCTCCGAAATCACAACCTCTGCAAATTGAACGGAGCTAAGCAGAATAGATGTCTAATCTTTTCTCTCTGAACTCTTCATTCTCCCCTGGGTTTCCCTTTCCGACAAGAACTTCAAAACAGCTTCCTCTGTTGACAAATCCCACTTACCAGTTTAAAAAACCGATCTTTTTAGCCTCTGTTCTCTCCACGAAAACTTCTGACCCACAAATTCCACAGTCAGTTCAGACATTCTGGGAGTGGCTTCGTGATGAAGGCGTGGTTTCATCCAAGACTCCAGTAAAGCCAGGTGTTGTTCCCGAAGGTTTAGGACTCGTTGCCACCAGGGATATTGCCAAAAATGAGGTCGTTTTGGAGGTCCCAAAGAGGTTCTGGATCAACCCTGATGCTGCTGCGTCTTCAGAGATTGGAAGTGTTTGTTCTGGTTTGAAGCCTTGGATTTCTGTTGCTCTCTTGTTGCTCAGGGAAAAGACCCGGGAGGATTCTAAGTGGAAACATTACTTCGGAGTTCTTCCACAGTATACTGATTCCACAATTTTTTGGTGGGTACAGAAATCTTTCTCCTCAAATTTGTGTTCTTTTGAGTTTCAGAGCATGTTCCATTTCTTTTTCTGTTATGTTTCAAGTCCTGCAAGTTCAAACTTGAGATGGGTTGATTACTAGTGTTTTAAAATGCTTTTCCAGTGCAGGTCAGAAGAGGAGCTTGCTGAGCTTCAAGGTAGTCCATCTTTTTATGCTTTCCCTGAAATTCTGAAAGATATGGGTGTGTCTCGAGAGTTGGAATTCCTAGTAATATATGATAGATTATGAGATTTAACGATTCATTGGTGTAGGGTTGTCATTTTTTTAGCCAATTTTCATTACAATGAATTTGCCTGTTTGAAGTGAAGATTTTTTGCTGCTAATATACAAGGGTCAATGAAAAGATTTAAAAAGATAATCTTGTAGATTTTATGTTGTTGTTTGATCTTTCTTTGAGCATCGAAGATTGATTCAAATTGGATGAGAATTTCAGGTAGCCAACTACTAAGCACAACGTTGAGTGTAAAAGAATATGTACAAACTGAATTCCAGAAAGTGGAAGCAGAAGTTATTCTTCCAAACAAACGGCTTTTCCCTTTTCCAATTACATTGGATGACTTCTTCTGGGCATTTGGGATGCTCAGATCAAGGGCATTTTCCCGACTACGGAATCAGAATCTCGTTGTTGTCCCCTTCGCAGACTTGGTACGTCTTGAATGTCTTGCTAGAATTAACTACCTTATCAGTTCCCACTGCATTTGGATGCCAATATACACACCTGTAGCTTTCCCTTGCAATTAAGTGTTTAGCCTTTTCTTCTTTGTGGCGAACTATATCCATTACCCTTTCGTTTTAATATAAACTCATTTTTGTTTCAGATTAACCACAGCGATCTTGTTACAACCGAAGATCATGCCCATGAGGTTAGAGGACCAGCAGGTCTGTTCTCCTGGGATTACCTATTCTCTCTGAGGAGCCCATTAGACTTAAAGGCTGGTGAGCAGGTCAGATCATCTGCTGAGACTCTAATGAACTGTCTTCCTGGTTTACCTGCTTCTTTAAAAGATGCAACTCTGAAATGTAATAGGGGTCTTAGCATATTTGCATGACATTTTCATCTCAAAATTTTAGCCGTACCCTGTGAACAAGCAGCATTTTACCATTTACATATAGAGTGACACCCTCCCTACAAAAAAGGAGTCATGTCTGTTGTGTTGTTTCATTTCATCAAACATTATCTTGTTTGGGACTTGGGGAGTGTTAATTTACGCAACATTTTAGTTCAAGTGAAATGCGATCGTGAAGGTTTTATCACATCATCTTAATATTGCAGGTCTTTATCCAATATGATTTAAACAAGAGCAATGCTGATATGGCTTTGGACTATGGGTTCGTGCCAGGATCTAGCCGTGATGCATTTACGTTAACTTTGCAAATCTCAGAGTCAGATGAGTTTTTTGATGACAAACTGGACATAGCTGAGAACAATGGTTTAGGTGCAACTGAATACTTTGATATAAAATTAGATTGCCCTCTTCCACCAATGATGCTTCCATATCTTCGGCTGGTGGCGCTTGGGGGAACAGATGCATTTCTTTTAGAATCAATTTTTAGAAATGCTGTTTGGGGTCACCTTGAGTTACCAATTAGCCGTGCCAATGAGGAACTCATCTGTCAAGTGGTTCAAAAAGCTTGCAACTCTGCACTTTCCGCCTACCCCACCTCCATTGAGGAGGTATATCAGCCCACCACTTTACTTTGGAATTGAGTTTGTAGTTAGTTGGCATTTTTCGCTAGCTTTCTGGTATTTGATATGAACAAGATGATTGTTTAAAGGTGCTAATGAAAGTGTTTTGCAGGATGATAACTTATTAGAGGAAGGAAATCTTAGTACAAGGCATATGATGGCTGTTAAGATAAGAGCAGGAGAGAAAAAGGTTCTGCAATATATCAGCAAACTCTTCGAAGAGCGAGAAGCAGAGTTGGCTGGTTTGGAATATTATCAAGAGAGGAGGCTCAAGGATCTTGGTTTAGTAGGGGAGCAAGGTGAAATAATCTTCTGGGAGTCGCGCTAGCAATTCAGGCCATTACGTATTTTCTTTTCTTCTTTGAAGGATTATGCTGTATAGGAAGTGGAAGAATCATCAATGAGTTCAACTCAGATTTGATGTGATTTCCACCAGTTCAGAAAGAAGGTGAAGTGAAATTTGGTATTTAAGCTAGTTTTCAAAATCCCGATCCGGATCTTAGAATCCTACGATCCTGCGATCCGAAATTAGGAAATCGATCATGGATCTTATGGAATCTTTCTTTGTAGTGGGATTTTATAGAATCTTTCAAAATCTCAATCCAAATTGTAAAATCCTACGATCCAGCGATCCCATTGATTTTGTCGAGATTTGTACAAATTGTTGATTTCGTAAAGAAAAGAGAGGAAAATAATTAAAAATATATATAAAAATTAAATTTTTGAGTTAATGATACTTATGCGGGTACTAATCTACTTGTTCTCTATAAAATCAAACAAGAATTGAACTAACAAATTGAAACTTGCAATTTCAGAATTATTATAATATTTTAAATAATTTCGATCCGCCAATCCGATCTTTCCGATCCAGAATCTGATCCGATCCTGAGACGCCAAAATGATCCTCTGTGAAATCTTGATTTTAAAAACATCACTACACGGCAAATCAAAAGGTTAAGCCAGAATTCTTAGGACATCTGCAAGATCAAAGTACTCTATGCTTCAACTATTGAGTAAACTCATCTTCTGTATGTATCCATTAATATAATCAGTAACTCCACAACCTCACAAATTATTAACATTTCCGATATCGTGAAGATTACAGAAATTTGACCTCTGATAGCTGATCATTATACTCACCTAAGCAGCACTCCCTTCCTTTCTTGCACTGTCAGTTTACTCATCAGGCAAGTGGTGGGAGTGGCATAAACAGAATCAGTTGTTTGCAGAAAAGAATTAGCTTTCTTCCCCCACAGCTTCTCGTATGCTAAAAAATTAACACATTATGAATTATTAAGACAAAACCAATTACATATGAACACTATGAAAGAATACATCTAGTACCCAAGTGGAACGTCTAATGCCTCTCTTCTCCCAATGTTTCATGCTGCCTCTTACCAAGCTCGTCGTGTATGAACAAGCCACCTCCACTGCCAATGACTTGGGCACTTTCCTTGATTTCTTAAAAGAATCTCCATGTGCAAGTGTATTGAACATTCGTAGTTCCTAGCCTTCGCAAGTTGAAAAAAGAAATCATGGTTTCTTCACCATGGTGACCAGCAATGGCTCTTGGAACTGAATAACAAATGGGGGCCGGCCTCCAACGACTCCCTTCATCTAGTGGTATTTAAATTACCAGGTCCCAGCAAATCATCACAACTAGTCCCATCACAAAGGCACTCTTGAGGATTTGCATAAAAATAATCCTCTTCTTTGGGTTTGTCAGTAAGTACTTTACGGCGTGAAGGCTGTCCCATTCTCTTCTCATGTGCCAAGCGGACCGCTCCAGAGAACTCATCCCATGAAAGTGTCCCGTTCTGATGCAAATCCAACAGTTCTACAAGCTTTTTCCGGTCAAGTTGGACGGTTTTCTTGAAACCCAGATACCTGCAATTTAAATGATTAAAGACTACTATAAAATGTTGGCCAAGGGATTTATTATACCAAAACAGCTAAAGTCATTCTGGATGTACCTACGATGGCCTTCCACCACCCTTGCCATGTTCCCATCATAAGTGGGAACAAATATATTACTGGCAACTGAAACAATAAAATCAAGGGCAGCCATCTGAGACGAATGGTTTTGGAACTGTTTCAAATCTTCAGGATCTAGCAGCATTTCCTTTTTCACCTGAGAAAAAAAAAAAAAAAAAAAGTAAATAACGAGTTCCATATTATTCTTCGATTCCTCAACATGTTTAACTAGATATATGCATTCGGAGTAACTTCCTAACATAAAATGCACCTTCCCAACTCCCAAATTAGCTATTGAACTTTCAGAGTATAAGATAATTAATGTGCTTTTGGTGAAAAGATACAAGCCCATGAGTCAACAAAAGTTCACAGCCAAAAAGTCAAATGGGGAATGAGCTATGGCCATAATCACTTACAATTTTTGGGAAGGCAGTTCTTAGAGCAGCAAGCCTCCTTTCACTACCAAATATTTCTCCAGATGCAATGTATATCTGGGTATCTCTATCAAAACCCAATGCTTTGAGGATTAAAGTCATCTCCTCTGGAGTAAGAGGACACAAGCCCTCAGCTCTCTTTACTTCAGATATAATCTCTTTCTCTTTCCACCAAGGGAATGCATATCTGAAAGCACAGTGCAGAACAAGATCTCAAGACCTTGAGAAATAACGAAGGAAAAGGTTTTATAATGTCTTCTTCCCCATCACAAGTGAATCACATGTATTGATGAACTCAATCAGATAATTTCCTCAAGAGAATGCAATATTAAAAGAAACAATACAACTACGGGGTACACAGTTCACAAGAGAACAACACCAACTGGTAGTTCAATGGTCTTCTGACAGTCAGATTCAATGAAAGTATATAGTGTGTGCGGTAGACATACATGTTCCAAGATATTCTCGAAACAAAAACATCCCAAGAAAAGTGAAAATTTCAGCAACTAAAAAAATAATAAAATGAACCATTAATAGCAGAAGAAAGGTGTGTTCAATAAGTACAAAATATTGCGTCCAATCCACTATACAGAAAATGTTCTTGAGACATCCTTGTATCAGAAAGTCATAAAATAAGAAAAGGGAAAAAAAAGAAAAGAACAAAGAAAAGATTATGCTGGTTGGCCAGTCTCAGAAATTAATCGGAGTACTGAGTAATGCCCCCACTTTAACAAGTCATTACCTTAGTCGTTTAAGCTCCTCTGCTTCCTCCTCAGTGCATCCATGTGTACAACCAGAAAAGGCCAGCATGTCCATCTCGTATCTTAGATGCAATGCTATGTAAGTTCCATTTTGTTGAAGGATGTGGACCAACTTTTGTCCTAAAGCTTCAATTGCAGGCGTGAACTTCAGTGCTTGGAAATTTACTCGACACCTTAGCCTTTGAAGTTCAAGCGAAATCCCATTGTTCGCAAATCGAGTATCTGTTCTATTGAAGTGTATCACCTTGTACTTGGCGTATAACGGCAAGATCTATAAGTAGTTAGACTGCAATTAGTTTAGCCTGATACTTATGGAGCATGAAAGTCAGCTTCATTTATGACATGGGTAAAAGACTAAAAAGGGGACTTGTAGGGAACACAGTTAAAGAAAGTCATGCATCATGATCTCTTGGTACCACAAAACTCATCAGACATTTTCATTTATAACTTCAAAGCTTAAAGGATTAATAGAAATCAAAATATCATAGATACCCTATAGGTATGAGACTGAATTTGCACCTCTAGAAATGCGACACAATAACTTTGAGAAATGGCATCATAAATATTAACATGCATAATACAAGGTCGAACCATTTCCAGAGCAACAAACCTGTTCCAAGTAGTACTTCTCACTAGACCAGCTAACTGGAGGCATTTCTAGAATTTGGTACCCATATCTTCTTCCAAACTTTTTTGGCAACCTCCTAATAATCCGAACTTCATCTCGTAATGAATCAATAAAGTGCTTCACATTGAAAATGTCCTCAAAATTACTGCAAGTCAAGAAAGTTAAAGAAAGTTAAATATAAAAGACTAAACTTGAGCTATTCATCCAACTTTTTCAAATTTAAAGCTACTCAACCAAGAACAGAAGTACCTCGGATCAGCCCAGAATGATTTTTTATCAAGCTCTGGAATAACCAACGTGAGATTCAAAAGCCGAGCCACAGTCACCATGTCACATATCTACATTCCAAGTTGTATAAATTAATCCTTCTGATAGAGAAGAGCCCAATGAGAAAGAAAAAAATAAAAAATAAATAAGAAGACAAATACCGCAGCACGCATCTGATTCAAACCTCCGTTACAGGACACCTTTAGAAAACCATTACTTGTGTAGTTTCCTGCTTGATAAAATGACTTCTCAGTGCATGCAAGAAGTTTATGGACTAAATTGACGACAACAACATACCCAGTATATTCCCAACGCGGTTGGGGTCTGGGGGGTCAAGATGGACTAAATTGACGTACAAGTAAAAAAAAATGGTTCTATCATCCATATGCACGCATCATATAAAGCATTAATAGATGCTCCAATGTTAATGCAAGTGGGATGGACAAGGGAACAGCAAATATTAGTGATAACAAGTCAACAACATAAGGTGCCTTTAAAAGGACTCTTGTGCTGTGCTAGCATCAAATAAAGACGGTGACAACTTAATTTGTAGCCATATCAGAAGAAACCAACATCTTCAATGTGATAGGTTAAGTCTAAATTGGTAATGCCTGCATTAAAAGATACAGCATCTAATAGACCAACTACTCTAAACAATAACCACATAATGAGAAATTGGAGCCTGGCTTCATAAATAAAGACACACCATTTATCCGTGCAAGCTATTCCACACAATTTACCCTCATTTGAAGTTTACGTGAGTTGAGCAATCAACTAGGTTTAAAGTCACAATATAACACTCTTCTTTTGTTCTGAGATCGTAACAAATTTTAAGGGATCAAGTAAACAAATATTCACCTATGGCTGAGACCTTAAGTAGCAACTAGAACCTTAAGACCAACTATGAAACAATTCTAACAAACAATGTAATTCTTCTTAATTTTCACCCCGACCCTCTACAATTCTAACATAAAATGTAATTCTTCTTACTTTTCACCCCGACCCTCTACCAATAAAGAAGACAAAGTTTCCTCCTCTGCAGAGTAAACCAAAAAGTCACAAAATCAGCGCAACCAAATAAACTATACTACTGGCAAATTCTATTTATTCATGGCAGCAAACTTGGAAAGCTTTCAAGAAACTCACTAGCAGGCGGAAGAATGACAGGCGGTGGCACAGCGTCCTCAACACGGGCAGACAATGTGGACCAGATTGAGAATCCGTTGAGCAAACGGGGATGCCATAGCTCGCCGACAGCCACCAGCTGGACCAAACAGGTCCATATCAAAATGCTGGAGCACACCCTTATAAACCAGACCTGTAACCTAGTTCTCTGAATCACTTGCCCACCTTGTAATGCTACCTTATCTTTATCATACCTAGCTTGTCCAAAAATCTCTGATCTCACCTCCATTTTCTTCTTCCTTATTCCTCATTGCCGCCGATTCTTCATCCCAAAATGCCCAAAACCCAAATTTCTACCCAAAATTACTGCATGCCCACTTAAGAAGATCCAATATTGATGATCCCCAATCCAACAAAATAGCTAAAATTTGTATAAAATCTGGAGAAATGGGGATGCTGCTCCCACTATGAATAAAAGGGGAAAAAATATAATTAAAAACAAACGTATAAAATTTAAAAATCAATACTTTCCAGAGTCCCGGGGGACAGTTGGAGATGATGACAGGCAAATTTGATCTGTATTTACAAGTCTGTAAGTGAGCCAATTTCACCAAAAACAGAAAATCTAAGGCGACCCAGGTGGAGAAAAAAATCACAATCTTACTGAAAAATTACAATTTGGAAAATGGGATAAAAACAATTTGGAAGATGAACAGGAGAGAAAAGAGCGGTGGAATCACGGGAGAAGATGTGGAGAAATTTTAAAAAGATCCCTTTTTTGGGTATTTTCTGTCGGATTATTTACCCTCAAAAAATAAAAGAAGTCCCTTTTTTAAAATCATTCTATCCGACGATTCATGAATTGTGCAAGTGTGAAAGTAGGCAGTGAAAAACGTGTCCTGCTCATTGCTGGATGCTTAGTACAATGATACAATTTGACCTTTTCCCAATCCGTGCGGAAATAAATGTACTAAAATACTATTTTTTTTAATTGAGTCTAATTATTATTGTGTTTGCCTCCCCCAACAAATATTAATTATCGTATGATTACGTTAATATTGACGAACGGTTGATTGAGATCTGCTTAAGGTAATTAACATTGTTTTTGTTTTGTTACTAAAATTGCAAAACAAGTTTTGGTTTTATTAGATGACACGAAGGGCAGAGTTAAGTTTGGGGTGTGGAGGAGTTTTTATAAATAATAATGAAATTAAGGATGATAGATAAGGGTTTTGGGATAAGATTTGAGATAATGGTAATATATATATTTTTTTTTCTTCTAATTTGGATGGTAGTTAGTGGTGAATGGGCAAGAAAAAAACTGCAAAGTCTGCAAACTCTCTGCAATCTGATTTTAACTTTTAAGGAATAACGGAACATGGTACTTATGGAAATGCCCTTGCCTTTTTTAGTTGTAGTAAGTTTTGTAACCACTTTAACCAACCGTCTTTTTTTAACTACTAGTAAGTGTACAATATATCCAAAAAAAAAAAATGATTTTGAGTATCTGGTTAATAGTGATACAATGAAACAAGTAGAAATAGTAAATTAATGATTATTTGGTTACGTTCATGTAAAAAGTAACAACAAAGTTAATGAAATTATCCAATGATATGTACAAGAGGAAGAGTATAAAATACAACCTCTGTCTCAAGTGATTGTTTTAGATTTTCACTTTTGATATAATTTGTAAAAGTAATAAAAATTTAAATTTGACAATCGTTTTAAGAAAAAAAGTTTTTTTTATTCCCCGTTACATGCTATCTGTATTCCTGAATTCACTGATCAATGATCACCTGCCTTCGCCTTCTCCTTGTAAGCATACTTTTGTAGTTGTCCAATTGAGTTTATAAGGAAGATGACAATGATTAGAGCTTGCATTTGTGGTTGATGCGTGGATGGTATCATTGTCAAGGTGCATCCTTTTCAATTTTGACAAATGCTTGTCGTATCGTGTAAAATAACACTAAAACTAGAGGCATCATGCTTACCAAGTCATCAGTCATGAACTTGGAATTTTGGAAATATATATTTTGGTTTAAGTGGTCGGAGTCGTTGAGATAGCTAGTGTTCTTTTTGTTAGAAATAAGTTATTAATATGAATGAGAATTGTTTTCTCATAGATCGGAAAAGTTGAGTTTTATGCTATCGGAGTTAGCTTAACTCATGTATGTGCCCGACTTGCGGACACAATGTCGGACCGAACTCTCGTGGACCTAATCAACCCACGTTTGCTCTGTCTCAGATTAATTTTTCAGTCAAATAATGGAGAGACTTTTGCTGCTATAATTAATTCTAAACGGTTTTCATTTAATCCGAATTTGATTGGATTGATTACCAATGGTTATGAGGGTGTTAATGAATATAATATTTTATTTAGCACAGGAATTAATTTGCTGCAATAAAACTGGCCATTTCAGTTTTGAAATTGTAGGATTAATTCATTTAAATGAGTAGAATAAATGGTTAAGTGGTTACAAATGTTTAAACATTTGACTCACAATTATTCAGCTACAATTAAAATGAATTAACATGAGAAAACCGTTGGGTTTTTTTTGCTGAATTCAAAAGATCTCTTAATGATATAAATAGTGGCTCATTTGTTTAATTCTAAGACACCCAATTTCTTCATCAATGTTGCCTTAGTTTTTTCTTCCTCTTCCTTGGTGTTCATCAAATATTTTCTAAGTTCCAGTTCGTCGGTGGAGCTACTTAGTACTAAGTAGTTTTCACGTTTCTCCATTGTATCCTGGGAAACAATTGCCCACGATCCTCTAGCACCTTAGGAGGGGGCAAATATGTTTTAAGGAAATCGTGTCTTCACGAGCCTCGAATTTTTCTATTTCTTAAAGATATCATTGTTCATCACAAATATCACATTCAATTCTTCCAACAATCTTAAAACATATTTTTTGATGTGTTGTATTTGTGATCAAAGTCAGAATGGCTGGAAGCATAGTCAAAAGGAAGTTTCTTTTCTTGTCATCTAGATCATGTCGACTTCACAGTCGGTTGGCAAAGTGGTCGACGAAGGCAAACAGAAGGGTAATGAAAGAAGTTGATTTTGCGTCGGTCGACAAGGAAATCGACGAAATTGAACAGAATTCAAAGTTTATGGTTGTCGAGTTTTCTGTCGGGTCCTATATGTTGACCAAAGGGTCGACGAAATTTGGGCAATACTTTTCTTTGAATTATGAAGAATAATTGATATGTTTCTTTTGTCATGTAGAGAATTGGGAGAAGATCAAATTGTGCATACGTGACAGATAATACAATTGGGCAAAAGATGTACTCATATCTTAGTCTACTGATTAAAAGTAAAGAAACGAGAATTTTTAGTTCCTCAACTAAGGTATATTTCGATATCCTTAAGATATATGAATATGGGTATATGATATATGCTATTCATGTTAATTGGTTGATTTTTAACATGAACAATGATTTTAAAAGTTGAGCATATTCCCTAAGTGAATTGATGATCTTTTATATAGATTATATCTACTCAACATTGATTAAATGGGAATAAAGTGTCATTCTAATCTGAAACCCCCGAAGTATGATTATCCAAATGCATGCAATACAATTAATTATTGAAGGTTATTGTATGCTTTTATGAAAAAATCATAACATTGATTTGCATTAATACATTCATGGAAAATGAATAGCTCTATGATACTAATGGCTATATTAATCATGGTACAAGAAGCATAAATTTGTTTCTTCTGATTATGACTATATAAGGTGCATAAAAATGATCAAAATCCTATGATAAACATCTAAATTGTAAGCATGATAAATAATGAGAAGTTAAAGTATTATACTTCTTTGGAATATCTTTGTTTGAGCCATATTTTGAAATTATGGCATTAACATGAGTCATTATCCATGAAAAATGAATGTATATTTTTTATGGTATTTAAATGCATATGAGAGGCACTAAATGAATTCATTAGTTTGTTAATAAATTCATTTGGCTTCCTAAAAGATAAAAGGAAAACAAATTGGGGACTAATATTGGCTTAAGGATATTTCTCCTAACATAAATAATGTATTGAACATAAATAATGTGCTTCCAAGATAGTATGCATGGCTAGATCTGTAAAATTACCATTTCGATTGCCATTTGCACGATGCACTGAAAGGACATATTTTTAGATGAAGAATACATTGAATGTGTTTTGTTTTATGGCCAAATATTTTAAATGTTTGGGAGTTATGGGTGATAACCAGTGAGACTTAAATATGTGCCATTAATGGATTATTTTGTTGTCATCACCTAAAATAGGAGTTACAATTTGTCCCTGATTTTTTCCTTGTTAAATTGAAAATCAGAACTGGAACAATGACAAGGATTTATGTGCATGACTTTATGGAATGGAAGTTATATTTTTCCACTAAATCTAATGATAGATTTAAATTAAGGAAAAAGAAAAAATGAATTGTTGTATTCATTGTTTGGGCATAAATGACAAAAGAAGTGCCCAGTCTCAAACCTCAATGTCCATGATATTTAGACTACTAAATATTAAATAACTTGATTCTTGGTGCATGGAGTTGCTTTATAAGACACTCTTATATGCAATTGTTATATATATCTTGTCACAAATGAATTTTTAGATGCCCCCGTGGCAAGTAATCTTAAAATGGTAAAGTATCAAATATTTGTGTGCTATATGGGGTGCATGATTTTTGAGTTTTCTGAAATTCTTCATTTGTATATATGAAAGAATTTAGTAAGAATAATGATTCTCAATTATGTGGTGAGAACTATGACTCTTTCTTCCACTCCACTTTTGTGAGAATGGAAATTCCATGCATGGAATGGGATGAACATGATGTGTCCCAATGAGTTCTATCCTCTAGATACGAACATAGGTTTGTTCTCAATAGAATACAGTCTATAAAGAGAATTTGTTCTCTACGAGACTAAGGTTGAGAATAAACTCAATAAAAGTAATGGATATTGGAGAAGTGGTACTAGTGGTGAGTGAGGCACCAATAGGTGACTTCTTTACACAACATAGAATTATCTATGAAGTTTCTACCATAGTTACATCTATCCAATAGAAATATGAACGTGAAAAATACACATTAATTTTTGAAGAAAATTGTGAAAATGATATTTTCAGTTCAATATCACCCGAATGTGGGGGATAGTTTCTTGTCAAGTGATTACCTTATTAAGGTATCATGAAAGAAATTGTGACTACCCTATAAATACTTGCGAGTGTGGGGGTCTTATATGAGCAATGCAATCAAACACTTGTGAGTGTCAAAGTATCTGGTGGAGATACTTGCATTAAAGGAAATAAAGATGAATCCTAATTGGTAGATAAAATCCTTACAGGCCATAAGTACATGACGGTACCATGTAGGGGTTCTTTGTGTATATTTTGAACTTGTCAAAATTACAAAAGAACACTATAGTGTGATGAAAAGAATATGTAATTCTTTTGGAAAGGAAATGGTTCAAGTTGAAGAACCAAGATGTGGCTAGGAACCAAATGAAAATCATTTAGGAATGATTTGAATCAAATTTGTTGGGAATGATTTACGAACTTCTTAGTTCTTGTGATGGATCTTTATGGAGAAACCATAAAGAGTGTCGATTCTATTTTTGAGAATCATACTTAAAAATAAGTTAATGTCACATAAGGAATCAAAGTAAATAAACAATGAGTTTGTTTAGATTACTTGATATGTATTCTCTCGTGTTGAGATCAAGATCAAATGATGTTTCCTTCAATGGAAAATTAGATACGGAGCAACCCGAGAGTTTCAAGCTCTAAATACCGATAATAAGATCGGTAAACTCTTTTATGGTCTTGGAACAAGTCCAAAGATCATCGATAAGAGTTAAAGAGTATGTCAAAATATGTCTACGTCAATGGGACATGGAAAGACTAAGGCATTTGATGCCTATTTGAAAGACATAATAAATTGTCGATAGTAAGTCTATTAACATGTTAAGTCTGTGTTTAGCGCGTGGAACTTACCGTGTGATTTTACTAGTTAAAATCACGTGGATTCAATGGTCTTATTTTGAGTCAACCTCATTATAGACAAAACTCTTGTGGAGTTTGAGCAAAAATAATTGTAGACTTGCTAGAACCACATTAGGTGATATTTTTCGGTTATCCTAGTTATGTGGGGAGTATTACTTTGGTAGAATACTCAAAGATGATCGAGAGAATAGTGCTTCTAATGAGTTCCGCTACAGTAAATGTTGATGAAGTAAGCTAGTGAAGTGCAAATACGAGTAATCAAGCATTGGATTGGGCAGTTAATATGGATAGTCAATGTTAGAGTACTAAAGTACTTACGATATACTCGTAGTGTTGAGTTACATCATACTTGATATCCAACCGTGCTGGAAGAGTACACAGATACAAATTGGATATATAGTAGCAATGATTCAAACAACACTAGCGGCTATGGTTATGCTAGCCTGAACATACGTGTTTTGGAAATCTCCAAACTAGATTGTGATAGCCGGTTTCACAATAGAATCCGAAATGTGTATATCGAATAGTTGAAAGACAGAGGCTAAATGGTATCGCTAGTTTTGAATGGGGATATGTGCCATTGATCTATTAATCATAGATGTGGATGGCACATAGCCAGTTGTATAATGGTAGTCCAAGATATTACTTTGTCACAGATATAGTATCATTTGCTAAAGATATCTTGCTTGACTGTATGAAGTCAAAATATAATATCGCGGATCCACTAACCTGTGTGTTAAACAAACGAAAGTTGAGAAAATGACGAAAGGAATGAGGTAGCCTATAAAGTAAAAAAGTCTTAAGATGGAAAACCCAACCTAGTTGACTGGAGATCCCAAGATCTAGGTTCAAAAGGACAACCTAATCATAAGACTTGGTGTGGTCACTGTGGGGATAACCTCAACTCATTCCTGTCATCAAATAGTGACATGACGGAAAATGATAGCAAATGGTTGCTTTAATGACACTTTAGTAAGTAATATCATTTACTCTACACTTAAGAAGTCACCTACGTAAGAGAGAAGTGGGGCCGCTTCAAAGGAGAACTGTTAAGGCTCAGTTCTTTAGAGACTCTCGCAGAACCAGGACGTGTTCATGGCCAAAATGAATAAAACCATGAGAACGGAACTAAAAAGAAAGGGTTCATGTGTATTGTATGTGGGTTTCTTTACACAATACAGCCGGACAGTTCAAGGACATCGCGTCTACTGGATAGTTAGTAAAGCAAGCATACTTTACAAGGAGGAAGTTCAAAAGGTAACACCTAATTTCTCTACGCAGGAATCAGTTGGTGAACACCATCTTCATCGAGTCAAACCAATGTCTCATTCATGCGGGGGATTGTTAGAAATGAGCTATTAATATGAATGAGAATTGCTTTCTCATAGATTGGAAAAGTTGAGTTTATGCTATCGGAGTTAGCTTAACTCATGTACGTGCCCGACTTGCAGACACAAATGTCGGACCGAACTCTCGTGGACCTAATCAACCCACGTTTGCTCTTTCTCATATTAATTTTTCATTAAAATAATAGAGAAACTTTTGCTGCTAGATTTAATTCTAAACGGTTTTCATTTAATCCGAATTTGACCGGATTGATTACCAATGGTTATGAAGGTGTTAATGAATATAATATTTCATTTAGCACAGGAATTAATTTGCTGCAATAAAACTAGCCGTCTCAGTTTTGAATTTGTAGGATTAATTCATTTAAATGAGTAGAATAAATGGTTAAGTGGTTACAAATGTTTAAACATTTGACTCACAATTATTTAGCTACAATTAAAGTGAATTAACATGAGAAAACCGTTGGGTTTTTTTGGCTGAATTCGAAAGGTCTCTTAATGATATAAATAGTGGCTCATTTGTTTAATTCTAAGAAACCCAATTTCTTCATCAATGTTGCCTTAGCTTTTTCTTCCTCTTCCTTGGTGTTCATCAAATATTTTATAAGTTCCAGTTCGCCTGTGGAGCTACTTAGTGCTAAGTAATTTTCACGTTTCTCCGTCGTATCTTGGGAAACAATTGCGCATGATCATCTAGCACTTTAGGAGGGGGCAAATATGTTTTAAGGAAATCGTGTTTTCACGAGCCTCAGATTTTCCTATTTCTTAAAGATATCATTGCTCATCACAAATACCACATTCAATTCTTCCAACACTTTTTTCTTTTTTTTTTTCCAAATAAAAAGTCTGCAAATTTAAACCCTAATTCTCAATATGTAAAAATTTATTATTCTCTTTGTCTTAGGAAAAAGAAAATATGTAGTTGAATTATTACAAACACAAGTTTTTTTCATTTTTGTTTTTTTTTTTTTTTTTGGATTTAGAACTCAGTATAGAACAAGAGACAATGAACATGGGAAAGAAGAAACAGTCTCATTTAAAAGGCGTCCTAGTGAAGGAAAAAACATCACATTTGCACTCAAAACATTTTGTTAAGAAAAGCATGTGAAAAAGTATATCTAAAAATACCCCTACCGCCCTACGTTCTCTAACTTAGAGGAACATCTATCAAAGAGAGTTGAAATACTCATGCCATTCATAAAGAAAATAATTCCAAAAAGAATACTAAAAAAGAGGAGGAAAAAAACTTCCCTTCAACGAAAAGTTTGCTTTAGTTCTTTTACCAAAAGCACACAACACTGCCGATGACATAATTGAAACGATCATCTTTCTCATTTTCACAGCAAATTAAATAATTTAATACTTTAACATGATGGCTGTGACAGAGGAGCCAAATCAATCTGCTTCAAGAACAATGGTTTATTGTTATTTTTAAAAAAATTGGAGTATTAGACGAGAGACATGTTTATAAAAATTAATACTTAGTTATGAATATTTAATACTGAATTAGAAATACTGAATTCATTAAACAGTTACGAAATAAACAATAAGTTAACTTTTAGTGCTTATAATTGGTACTATACTTTCAGCACTACTAATTCATTGAGAGGTTTATTTTTTGTTATCAAACATGCTAAATTGAAAAAGTTTTTAATTAAATAATACTTTTAGACATTAAGTTGGGTTATCAAACAGGCCCCAAAAAAATTAACTAGGATCTCTTCCATGTGTTGCACGGAACATGTTAAAATGTACACTAATACGATTATTAATTATAAAAAATATGTCACGTACTCGATTAACGGTTGATTGAGAAATAGAATCTAAAAAAAACACGTCATACAAAAGAATGAGCCAACAGTAAAAAGTGAATTTTAAAAGCAGGGTGAAAATTAAGTGATATTTAGATTATTATAATTTAAATTTTCTTGAATTTGAATATAAAAAAAATGTTTCACATAATTTTTTTTGATAATTTTACCCGTGAGATTTTAACTTCTTTTTAATGAAAATGAAATTAGACTGATTGGATTTAAATATAAGAAAATTAGGTGTTAGACCCGTCCGATGGACGGGGAAGGCATACACATTTAGACATTTTTATATAAATTTTGTATTTTTATAAAATATGTAATGATTTCAGTTTTAAACATGATTACCTCTGGGTTTACAGGAATTTGTTTTTTTAAATGACATTTTAAATTCACTGGTGACAAGGTTTATGCAGATCTCTCTAAAATTTGTTAGGATTTGGTACTCTCTCCAATCGATCTCTGTGTTAGGATTTGGTTCATGAAAATAAGGGTTCGGTTTTTAGAATTTTATTTTTTTAAAAAATTATTTTAGTTGCTTTTTTTTGTTTTATTATTTTGTTTTGTGCATTTTTAAGTCTAAGAAATTAATAAAATGCCACATAGAATTAAATCCTATGTGGCATGTGCTCCATGCCTTTAGTTTTCTCTCTCTGGTTTTTGCCTTAGTATAATATATATAGATAGATGTCTTATTTGTTCTTTTTTTCTCGTAATTTTAGCCGTGAAGTTTTAATATTTCTAAATGAGATTGGCATTAGATTTTATGACAAAATGAATTTTCTTTTTAGGAAAAAATGGTAGATATTAAGCGGGACTATGTATGCATATTACAATATGTAGCAGTAGTAGGAATTATTACATACGTTTAATTTTAAGGGATGAAATTAACATGTGTTTTTATGAATAAGCAAGATAGAAACATTAATTTCGTGAAATTAGGAAGAATTAATGCTAGATTTCTCATTAGTTTAAGAGGCAGGGGCTTTTCTTTCTTTTTTTTTTTCTTTTTCCAAAAATGGTGTTATGTTTTTTGCGGGAAAACAATGCACAAGAGTGCGACACCTCATTAAAAATCTTCTCTTGGACAATTATTTTAATAGGATATATATTGATTTAATCATTATTAAAAAAAGGTTTACTACGTAGCGCTTTCGATAGCAGCATCACGCTTTTACTCAGTCGGGCTCGTGTCCAAAAGAGACTAAAATTTAATTAATTTATTTGGTTTTCTGTCTCCGGTCTTCGCCAAATCTATCTCCAGTCATCCTCCGGTCCATCTTCATCGCCTCCATTATCTTGTTCTTGTTCTTCCTTCTTCCGATTTCGAGAAAATCTCTCCCAGTTTCTCTCCTCAGACCATCTTTGCCCGAATCTCGCCTTCAATCCAATTAGATTTTAGATTAATAAAGAAGAAAACAACAAAACCCAAATTCTTTCTTTTGGGATTGGACGAAGATATGGATCATAATTGTCATAACGGATTCAGTTTCTTTACAATTTTGTTATTCATTGGATTTTTATCCACCCGGGTTTATTCGATCCAGTTCGATCTTCAATCAGGTCACACCAAATGTATAGCTGAAGATATTAAGTCAAACGCCATGACCGTCGGCAAATATCACATTGTTAACCCTACCGAAGGCTCCCCTTTACCCGATTCTCATAAAGTCACTGTCAGGGTAAGCTCATCTTTGCTTTTATGTCCTGGGCATTCTTTTTTCTCTCTCAATCTCTGTTTTATTGTATTTGTATTTTTTTAGGCTTGATTGAGTTGTCTGTTTAGGGGAATTCTGTGGAAAGAAGCTTATTTTTTCATTTAAGTGGTTAGGTTCTGCTCTTTCCTTTTTGTTTCTTGTTTTATATTATTTTACTGCTGGTAAAAAAAGATGTGATTTTGATGCATATTATGTGGTCTGGAACGAAGATTGTCTATCTTTCCTCTTGAAAGTTTTGTTCGTCGTGTAGAGGAGCGGTTTAATATTTTTCCTGAATTTGAAATTGTAACTCATGGTTCAGTTCGGTTGTTTTTGACAGGTCACATCGTCTTATGGGAATAACTATCATTATTCCGACCATGTACAGTCCGGGCAGTTTGCGTTTCAGACTGCAGAGGCCGGAGATTACATGGCTTGCTTTTTTGCAGCGGATCACAACCCTGCCGTTACTCTCACAGTTGATTTTGATTGGAAGTCTGGTGTTGCAGCAAAGGACTGGTCCAATGTTGCCAAGAAGGGCTCGGTGGAAGTAAGATTAAAACCTATGTTTACTTAATTTGAACAGATTATTTCTGTGATAGATGTACATATGCACTGGCAGCGTTAGCTATTTTCTCTCTAAAATTAAATTGTTATGAAAGTTGATTGAAGAACCTAGGAACACTCTTCGGTTGGCATACTTCTGGACACTGTTTTCAGGCCGTTGTATATGCTGTTAGTGATTAATGTCAAATGCAAGTGATTACAAAAGTTGTGAGCATTTATTGGGGTTTTGGGGGTTGGGGGGGAGAGAGGGGGATGATTGATGAGTTAAGGTGTTTTACTCTAGTGCTGAATGAACCTAGGAACACTTTTCAGTAGGCATTTCATGGATTATTATGCACTTTAGTATGTTTTCAGAATGTAGAATGCTGTTAGTGATCGATGTCAACCTGTTTCTTGCATGCATAGGATTAATGAGGCTGCAAGGTTATGAGGACGGGGGGAGATTGATGAGTGAGGGGTTTCGTTAGCATTTCTGTTTAGTGACATGACGTGCTTAATATATCCGGTATATTTTAGTGGAATTTTCTTTAGTCTGATCTGCCTTTCTCACCTCAAAGATGCAAAATGCATCAACGGAAATATGGATCTGCGATAGTAAATACAGAACAATGTTGGAGATGTTCCCTTTGTAAAGATAGAGACACGAATGGGTGAGTAAAACAATTTTTTTTTATGGTTTGGCCATCTGGAGGTTGAATTCAGCACAATCTTTAATTCCGAAAGAAGTTCCTGCAGAACCTTGGACTTCCCTTTGTGAGAGTCATTGATCTGGATTAGACTGTGCCACAGTCAAGAAAAGGAAAAATTAAATAAAATTTGTGCTTGTTTTTCTTTTGTTGCTTAGACTTATTGGCAAACATGTGCCAGTTACTTGACATTTTATTCAATAGGATGTGCAGCAAAAGATATCTGGTTCCTCTTCTTTTTTTTTTATGTTGCTCTTTAGAGACTGTTTAATTGATGCGTTGAATGATTGAATTACTTTTATATAGGTCATATCGACCTCTCCGGCTTTTCCCCTGGAGTTATACTTTTGTGTGAATCTGATATTGTATATTAACGGAACGAATGGGTTTCTCCCTGCAACCATTTTCTTTTTTAAACCCTGCAACTGTTTTCAAATATAGGAGAAATGTGTCTGCGTCCTGGTCCTCTTTTCCTTTTCCTTTGCCTGCATGATTTGTTCATCCTTGTTCTTTTATTTTTGGAATTAATTGCATATTTGTATGTCGATGACATTTGAAAGATTGTGAGTGGTGGATGGGTCCCCATTAGTGAAAGCATTGCAAGTTAAAGGTTTAGGTGGTTAGGTGAATGTCATGGGATCTTTGTTATGTTGGAGAATATGTGGACTGAAACTACTTTTTGCTAATGATGAATATTCATATTTCTTGATTGTGTTAGCAATACATCTTATTTATGTTTGGAACTACTTGTTTACCAGTTGATGGAAATAGAGCTGAAGAAAATGTATGACGCTGTTCAGTCCATTCATGATGAGATGTTCTACCTTCGAGAAAGGTATGTATCTATAGTTCTTAGGTTGCTCATGTTCCCGTCTTATATGTGGTCACGATTGATTTCCTGACAATTTTTGTGCTTGTTGTAGGGAGGAAGAAATGCAGGAGCTCAACAGATCTACCAACTCTAAGATGGGTTGGTTAAGTCTTCTCTCCCTCTTCATTGCTTTGTCTGTGTCAGGATTGCAGCTATGGCATCTGAAGACATTTTTCGAGAAGAAGAAGCTTATATAGTGGTATAAAGTTTTCTCTGTACAAGAGCTTCTAACTGTTTGCTTACGTTATAAACACAAGTAGAAACAGACTACTTCGAACTGATATGGCTAGGAAAATTTGAAACATGACCGCGAATTATTTATGGCATGAGGAGATAATTTTGATTACAGCTTCTGCTTGTATTTGCGTTTGTGATGTTTGTATTTTGAATCCTATAATTTATGTTGGTACATTATTAACAAATCGTGTGTACATGTTGCATTGTATCAGTAACCTGGACAGACTTCAAGAACTCGCTAGCAACATCAAACTGCATTAAAAATACTTCTAGGGACTCAGTTTTCATCTTTCTTACCTTCCAAAACAAAGAAATACTAGAGAAAATTTAAACGGTTGATGTTGGTGGACTCAAACTTGTGTTATGAGTATAACTTTATAGAAAAAATGAGTATGAAACAGACAACAGACTATGCTAAGAAACATTTTTAAGGATCTAGAACTCAACAAATACCAAGCGACAATGTCAAGAATAAGAGCTTGGGTTATATGTTAATTTCACCAAGCTAGCTAAGGAATCTGGGGAACATCCCTATCTACAATCTTCAAATCCAGATGAGCTGGCGAGGAATAGACTTCAGCAAAACTCCTGGAACCTTGTTAACTATTCACAATCCCTTCAGGATGTTCAGGTATTGCAGGGTAAACAGGGATGGGGGCTTGCAGATATAATTTGCAGAACGTCTACTTTTCTTCCAGGCCTTAAAAATCATGAAGTAAAGAGATGCCAATGATGATCCGAGGGCAACATATCCTTCAGTTTTTCTAGTCTCTTTAGAATCTCCAAGAATGAAGGCCTCTTGTTCATGTCAGCAGCCCAGCAATGCTCAACCAATCTAAGATCAAGGTACAAAAGAAATTAAGAACCAAATTGAATCAACCTATGAGAATGAGGGACCATCAATGCATTTAGCGACTACAGAATTGATAAGTTCATGACCAAAACGCTGTAGTCATTATGTGACAGCTTTGGCATAATGACAGAAAGACACCTTGAACTCAACTTTGATAATGGGTCTCAGGCATTATGTGGCTATTAGTTGGATTGGATAACGAAAAAAAGTTTCGACAAATGAGACAACTCCTTTTAGACATGTTTGGGTCACAAACATTCACAATAAACCAAACTTCTGATTGTTTCATGGGTGAAATTTCACAATTTGACTTACTCTCTCAATTCTGGTATGAAACTCTTTGCCCTAAACATAGGCCTGTGACCTTCTGCAACATATTTAGCTGCCTCGTATGGTTCATAGTGGGAAAGGGGTGGCTCACCCTCGAGCATCTGCAAATTTCATTGTTCATATAGAAAAAGAAAAACAAAGAAGAAAGAAAACGAAGACAATTCTCCATAATTCTCTATAATGCTGAGAGAGTACACTAAATTTACCTCATATAATATCATAGCAAAAGAAAACACATCAACCTTCTTATCGTACTTTCTGTGCTTGAATACTTCAGGAGCCATGTATCGATCTTTGGTATGCACAAAATCAAACATATGGGATAAGTAAAATAATAATCAAATCTAAGATACAAGCAAACACATTTTAAGTCGACACAATACGAACAAAAAATACTCACAGCTTCCTGTCTCTCCAGTTAGCTTGTACACGTCATGAGAATGTTGAACCCTAATGAGTTTACTTAGGCCAAAGTCTCCAACTTTTAAATGGTCGGCACTGGTATTGACAAGGAGAACATTCCTGACAAAGGAAAAGCCAACAAAGAAAATTCAGCAGGCAGTTCTCTGTGATTCTACCCACGACAAAATGTAACTAGCCTCCTCAATACTACCCAATACGCTAATGTATCTCAATACAGAGACTTGCCTTGGCTTTAAATCCCGATGAATCACGACATTTGGTTCATTGTGAAGATAAGCCATCCCTCTGCATGCACAATTACAACAGAGATGAAGTATGACAAGAAATTACATGACTATCGCTCTGCATTTAAGGTAACTGTATAATAGAAAGTAGAAACCCAATGCTCCCTAATTATTATATGGAAAATGTAATATCCAATTGTTATTGATCTAATTACAGAATACAAAATATGCACGAGATAAGAGATGACTGCAGAAGATTACTACAAGGTAGCACTTTGTAATTACGAGATCAGCTTTCTTATGATGAGCTAACAATATATACTGAAACATTGAAGTAATTCCAAGTACCTGGCAATATCCATTGCAAAATTAATTGCAGTTGCCGGGTTAAGTGCACCTTTTTCCTTCAGATATTGATGTAGGTCACCCTACAGGACCATTGTCATAATAGATATAAAACCTACTGTGTGGAATTTATAAATATTTAACTCAAAATACATTAAGGTATTTGCAATTGCTCACCCCCCTCAAGTACTCAGTGATTAGCATCAAAGGCTTCTTTTCAGTGACAGCTCCAAGAAACTGAACAATATTTGGATGCCGAAGTTTTACCAGCAAATTGACCTCATGTCTGAAATCTTGACTGAAACAAATATGATAGTGAGCTTCTGGGCTACAACAACACACATAATATAGAGTTACAAAGCTACAGGTACTGTCAAAATAAACTTACATGACCAATCTATCATCTGAGAGGTTTGGAAGAATCCTTTTGACAGCTACAGGTGTTCCACGCCAGCATGCTTTCAGTATCTCACCAAAAGACCCCTAACAGTTTCACTAATAATCAGCCACTGGCTTGCAAATTAAGTAAATAACAAATTGAAAAAGAAGATCTGGAAGAATAAAAAATAAGCAGAACCTAGTTATAGCTTCTTGATTTCACCCCCCCCCCCCTTCTCCTCTAAAAACAAAGTGTACATAGTGCATGACTGCATTTATTTAGAACCAGAGCAGAAGCTAACATGAAACTAAAATTCAAAAGGTGAAATCTCCTTCTGTTGGTTCGTAATGGAGCTATGAAAACAAGGCATATAATCATGCCATGGAACTGAAAAAAATAATAATACTAATAACAATATGCTTTGAGCAGAACATGCCTCTGGAATAGTGACAAAAACATTTAATATTGACAAAATTGCAACCAGTTGATATATTTGGACAAAATTGCATTGAAACTCTGGTCATTTTCATTTTATGTTAAGGAAATTGAACAGCTTTGACATAATTCTATGTCAATTTTTATAAATGAAACCCAAATCTCCACCAAAATTACCTACTATTTGACAAAAATCAAGACGAAAAGCAATGGAAAGACATACATTAAACAACCATGCAAACACGTATGACATTTTCCACATAAACTAAATAGAAATGAAAAATTCCTTTAGAAAAATAAATTCAAACCTTCCCAATTATAGCTGAGTTTGAGAAGTCCAGTTCAGAAGGATCAATCTCCCAGTCACACTTATTAGGTAGAGGGGGAGGAACAGCCCTTGGTTCAAAGTGGCTCCCATTCTGACCCTGCAAAAGTTGTAGTATAGAAAAGTTTGAAAGGAAAGAACCCAATCATACAGAAATTTTAAATGAACTGTTGCAACACTAAATGAAAAGATCTTGAGAAACCCAAAGTGCCTCTATCAATTGGGGTCAGGTAGAAGATACGTCACATCATTATCAAGGCCTACTCTACAAATGGGGAAGTTTTATAAAGTGACCTTCGGTGTACAGCTAGCTCAGTCACAGAATGACAGTAAAGTGAAACAACGCTGTATCTTCCATCCTTAAAACAAATGCAAAGTACAGTATGACAACTTGTAGCACAAAAAAGCTTGTTTAGAGGACTTAAGGCTTAAACAAAAACTCAAGAAACTGCTGACTGCTAGTCAGAATAGTGCATTTACATAATCTTCATAAATATGGGCACACAGGCACTTGCAGAAAGTAATGTGCAAATGAGATTTTTGAATCAAGCATTAAGTTAGAGGCATTATAAAACAAAACCATGCAAAAGGAAGGTATTCATGCTAACATATACAGAAGTGGGATATTCCCCAGGTGCAACTTCAGTAATTAAATAAAAGAAATGAAGCCAACCAAGATGAAGATAGAAAGGTAAGGACAAGACCGGACTAATGAGATACGTACATAAGATAGGCCACCATATGACTTCAGCAATTCAATCATGCCGTGCTTTTTAGCTCCTTCTGCATCAGCTAGAGGCTGCCATCATCAAAATGAAACTCAATATGTACAGAAGCTGAAGGCATATATCAGATGCACAAATGCTTAATGGCAACATAAGAGAGATAAAAAGAAAACAAGCAGTACTTTGGCTAAAGATTTATATAAAATTTATACATGATAGTAATACAAGTAAGGGAGCCATTCTTCTTCCAAAGCAAAAGGCTTTCAAGGTGATCTAAGCAAAAACATATACCACTAACTACCTCTTTGAATTGGCTACCATAAAATCAATAGTTATCAAAGATTTCTTTAGCCACTAGCAGCTACATACAAAAACATTCAACAAATCAATTACATGCAACTTCATTGTACATAAAGAGCAAAAATACATATGAAAGCTTCCATACAAGTGCCATCATTCTATTTATCAGCATTCCAAATAACAACTTTTGACTTAAGTAATTAGTGCGCATTACGCTCCACCATACTACTCCAGCCGTCCCTCAGCTATTGCATTTATGCTTCTTTCCTCCTCCCTCTGAATATCAAATACCAAAACCCAATGGAGAGGCTTAAAGTTGTGTGAATTAGAGATGAACAATTAGCCATTACTACTACTGCTAACCCTTTCTATCTCCCCTGCCACAAAAGAAATCTTGAACTCCTGAGAGAGTTTTATTAGCCAAAACCCAACTCCGAATCCACTGGCCTAACTATACGCCTCATATAAATATCATAGCTAAGCTTATTGATAATAAAATAATATGGGAATGCAAACATTTATATGGTAAGTAATCAGCATGGAATGAGTACACAGTCAGATGGGAAACCAGTCGAATCCAACACCAAAAAGACACTCTTTAACACCATTTCACAAAACATAGAAAGCAAGGGATAGAAAATGACCGAGGAATCATACCGTGTTTTTCCAACGATCTTGGGCGTTGACATCAGCGCCAAACTCGATCAAAGTCTTGCCGACGTCGATCCAACCGTGGAGAGCAGCGACGTGGAGCGGAGTCCGGTTATCGTAATCCTTAGCGTGTACCAAACTCCGATCCTCTTCTAGAAGCTTCCGGACGGCGGCAGCGTCGTTCTGGTGAGCGTGCCACAGTATCATCGAGGTTCGACTCACTCTGGCCTTCTCCTTCTTCTTATTATCACCCGAAGCAGCCGCCGGAGCTTCTCCGGCAGCGGCGGAGTGGCCGGAGCTGCCCTCGCTCCCGCTCATTTCGGATCGGAACTGAACAAAGGCGTGAATTACAAGCTGCTCTTTTCTTCTTGTGTGCAAGATATCTTCTTCCTGCGTTTTTTAGTGCTTAGTAAAATAATTGTATAGCGCGTGTTTGGATATCCGTAAAGCATAAACGGATTTCTGTAACTGTTGGATCAATTTTACTTTTATCCGTTTGTGTGTGTGTGTGTGTGTGTTTTTTTTTTAAAAAAAAATTAATTCGGGGGAAATTGACTTTTTATTTCAGATTCTTGCCACAGATCAGAAGACGGTTGCCTTTCTTTTTTTTCTGATATTTTTATTTGAGATGTGACGGTGAATTTTACTTTTCGATTAGGGGGCGGGAATCTGGACAGCCAAACGCTCCCTTTTAGCCGTTTCCTTTCCCATATGATTTTTTCAGGAATCAGATCCTGCTGCCGAGGAAAAATATTCCATTTGCCTGTCCCATTTTGGCAAAGCCACAGTATTTAGTAATTTCCTTATTAAATGATTCAGTCAATAATTTCATAACATAAGCGAGAATTAATTATCGAATGTAACATTTTAGTCCATCGCACTAGATGATTTCTTTGTATTTTTAAAAGGTAGAAGCAGAAAATTTTCAGCAGAAATGATGTTGAAAAACGTTTGGATTTAACGGGAACGTAAAGAAATACTACTATATTCTTCTGCCTGCTGCTTTAATAAGATGAGCTTATCCACAAACATAAAGTCTTAAATCTTTTTATAAATGACAACTTGATGAAAGTATGTCTCAATCAACTTCTTGTGTAGGGAGAGGTGTGTTTTATGACTAGATCTGGTTCTGACTCTTCCCTCAGATACTGGGCAACCGCGTAGGATGATCAATGATGGTAGTATTTTTATTTATTTTATTTATTTTTTTCGTGTGAAAGTTTCTTAGTATCTAAATCAGCAATTTTATTCCAACAACTATTTGTATGATCAATTTCTATTTCTAGTGCTACCAAATTTTACATCACATCAAGGTTCAACATTTTACCAAAATTTGTATAGGTTCTTGTTTTAGCCGAACTTAGAGAATGTATTACACATGAAATCTATTGTATTCGACGGGATATATCCAATAAGATCCATATTAAATATTTTTTTAACTTTAAAAATGATCAAATTTTAATAGGCAGAAATAAGGTAAATACTTTTTTTTTTTGTAATGACGAAAACCCCACCAGAGATGGGTAAACCATCGGGATGACAAGCTCGGGTGCGAAATCGGGGATTCATTAGTGGGTTAGTCATAACAAGCCCCTAGAGGTGCCAATAAGCAAGGTGAGAGCCAACTCTTCGCTTTTTTTGAGGGATTGGGAGATTAAACTCATGACCTCCTCTTAGAGCAAGGGTGGTTTTACCACCGAATTAACTCCTCATTCGCAAGGTAGATATCTATTTTAAGAAGATAGATAACCAATATATTTTATATTGATATTGTTGTGTTATTTATATTTCTTAATCCGTGAAGAATTTGTAAACAATTTATATATAAAATTTATAACACTCACTGATATCTATCCGATAATATCAATAATCGAATATTTTTTCAAACTAATGCATTTAAATTTTATAGTCAGAAATAAAGGAATATGTTTTTTTTAAAAAAAATATTTATCAATTGGGTTCTTACTGATTATCCAACCGGTTTGAACTGGTTATCCAATCCTTTGTTTTTTTTAGAAAATTAATGTCTTATATGTTAATACTGATTATCTATTTTGTTTATAATGTTTATCCAATTATTTGTTTCCTTTGAAATACTGTTGTCTAATGTGTTCTAGTGATTATTCATCGTTTTGTATTGGTTATCCAATTATTTTTACTGTTTGTCCAAATAATTTTGTATTACTTGTCTAATAATATTTTTTTCTCTTAAGAAAATGCTTATCCAATGTATTTATACCGATTATCCACATGCTTAGTAGTACTTATTCAACTATTTTTTATTTTTTTTAATGAAAACACTTGTCCATTATGTTTATACTAAACTAATAAATTAAAGTAGTCACACAAATTTACATAGAAAATCCAAATCAGAAAAAAAAATAAAAAATCACGCGACTGTAACAATAGTCAAATCTCCATTCTCACAATAATGGGAAATAATCTTCACCAACCGATGGATACACATGACTTCTTCACCCAAAAGTGGATTACAACACTACTCCTCTTCCAAAAATACACCTAAATCACAAAGATCTCCCCAAAATTTCTTGTTTTGCCTTTAGTCTCATTTTCCATCTTAAACCCTATGCACTATCCATACAACATTTTAACTTACCTTTTAAAAAATATTTCAAACATTATTTTTACACAATTTTCGTCCACTACCACCGGACCACCTCCATCACCGCCCGCCACTGTCGGGCCGCTCTCTACCGCCACCGGCCGATCGTCGGCTGGCGGCGGCAAGAGGCGGTCTGGCGGTGGTGGCGGCGACCGAAGTGATCAGGTGATGGAGAAAAAATAATATTATTTTATTTAAAATAATATCCGGATTATTTTTTAAATTTTTTCTTAATCATATTTTAAATCATATCTCAAACTCAAACAAAAACTAAAATCAATGTGCAGCTGTTGCTCTTTGCTTGCTAAACTCACGCGCAAAAAACCACAAGGGACCAAAGGGTAATAACCCACGGTCAAGTCCCAAAAACAAAACCAAATTAGATTTGTTTTTCTTATATTATTATTTTTATTTTTTATTTGCTTTTGTTGTTGCTGGCTCAATTGAGGGGAATGGCCAGCACAACATTGTTTTCTTTTAGTTAATATTATCTTTTAATTTCAAGGGACTAAATATAGCCCACTTAATCTTTAATGCGCCCATTTTATGACTATTTTATCATTTTTCATTATTATTAATAAAAGAATCATCATTTTAACATTTCATACGTTTTAACCATTTTTTTTTCAAACTTAAAGTTTTAGCTTTACCTAATAATAAAAAAATAACTTTACGTAAACAAACTAAATTAATTTTTTAAAAAATTTAGCTTTACCGAAATAAGTTAATATTTAACTTGACCTAAATTAACACCTCAACTCAAAAATTTATTCAATTAATTAATATCAAATTTTTAATTATCACACGATACATTAAGTAATAAAAAATAAATATAAGTAATGGCATAAATAAAAAAAAAATAATTACATAATTTTTTTTTTTAAAAAGTGAAGATAAAACAAAAAGACATCATATTTAAATTTAAAAAAAAGGAAAAAAAAAAAAAAGCGAAGGCCACGCCCTCAATGGGCAAACGGCCAACGGCGCCACACCTACCGGCTGTGGGAAGCCCAACGATAGCTGGCGCAGAGAGGGCAGGCAGCCAATAGGCCACCCGTGTTAACCAAGCAAGCAACCGATTGGTCGTGCGCCCTCTCTGCGCGAGTTACCGTCGGGCTGTCCGCCATCGATAGGTACGGCACTGCTGGCCATTCACCCAATGAGGGCGTGGCCTTCACTTTTTTTTATATATAATTTTCTTCCAACTGTGATGATTATACATACATATACATATATATATTAAAACCAAAAAAAAAATTACATACTTGCGATGGCAAACTTTTTTCTCCTCTTGGGGGGCGATTTGCCATGATTTCTTCAAAGAAATGCTTAAATTTGAATATTAATGAACATTAGAAGGTTGTAGATTTTAAAATAATAAAAAGAGAAATTTTTTCATTGTTAGGGACAAAATCGTAAAAAAATTAAGCTTCACTAGCATTAAGTGGGCTACGCTTAGCATTACCCTAACGAAAACACATTTACGTGTGTGACATTTTCGTTCTTAAAAAATAATCTTCTATCCTGTTAAACTATTTGAAGGGAGTTTTTTTTGGATTAAAAGAATTTTCTTTCTGATCCGATTCGTAAGCATGTGAAGATTTGTGCCTGCCCATCATCTTCAAAATTTCAAACCAAACCTAAAATGCCAAAACTTCACCGTAATTACCCAACCTAATTGGTCTAAGCTTTGAGAGCTCTCATGGGTTGTTTCAGTAGGGATAAGGGACACGGTAAAGACTAAAGAGAGTAAAACAGTGAACATAAGCTCTAGGGGAAAATTCCACACGAACAAAAGAAACAAATGTTTCTGAACAAAAAATAATACTAACTTCGTCCTACAAAAATAATCCATATTGGAGTTTTAAATTTGTACTAAAAACAGTACAAAATTTAAAATTCAATATGGACTATTTTTTTGGAACGGAGGGAGTACGTAATAAAAATAAAATAAGATTACAAAGTAAAATAAGTGGTCATTGATTTATTCATTTTGGGGTTTTCAGCGTTAAAAAAAAAACAAAGTAAAACAAATAAAAATATTAACCAACAAGGCATGTGAGCTATGTGTAGTACATGAAGTTGGTATTCTGTGTATATGTGGATCCAGGTAATCACTTAATTGGGTCTGTTGGGTTTAATTATTTTAGTTTAGGGTAAATCACAAGTTCATTCCCCGATGTATCCTTGCGTTAGTTGTTTCATTCGTCGAAGTGCTTACTATCAGCTAGAGAAATTAGTGATACGTAAACACTTTGCAATATAAAATTTTTTAAAAAAGTTCATTTAACTTTGAAACTGCATTTTACGAAAAAAAATTTATCTTTTGAGGTCATTATGAACATCACGTCAAAAAAGTTAATTAGATTGGCAACGTTGCTGGGTACAAAATTAACACATTAACGGATCTATATCTATATCTATACTATATATAATATGAGAGTTTTAAATCGACACGTTTCCCGCAATGAGATAGTTTGGAGATTTCTCTACCACTTGTCAAGCTCACGTTTCTCTTCTGACACGTGTCGATAAAAGAGATTCTCATTCATTAAACAGTTAAAATTTTTTGGTAAATTAGTTATTTTAACTCATTTATCACCGATCCATTTCACTCATTTTATATTTTTGTAAATTGATTAATTACCTAATTAATTACCCATTTTCTATTTATGAATTATTATATTATTAATGAGTAAACTCCATTCCTAAAATAACTAGCAGAATAAATTAAAAGTTAATCTCATTAATTACAGACATTTATTTAATAAAAAATATCAAATTTGATTCCATTTATTTAAGAAAAAAATGATGAATTAGTCCCGACCTATATATTTTAAGTATAATGTCATCCCAACATATAATTCATATAGCCAGTTTAACCCATTTAACGAGATTAATTAATTATTTAACAATGATTTTTCATTATTAATTTATTAAGTTAGTCTCAACCTAGAATAAATTTTCATTATTAATTTATTTTTAAAAAATCCATTCTCCATATTAAACCACCATGAGGCTTTGTTTGTCAAACATTATAAAAAACAGAGATTTTAACACTTTATTAGTCCTCCGGCCAT